GAGCATTGTCGTGCATAAAAATAATCTTCTTCCTGAAAGTGTTTATCTTCTTGACCCATAGCTCTGCGTGTGCCTTCAAAAATCAATGTATATCTGAGCTGTCATTTTTAAACCATCTGAAAATCACTGTGGGCCAACAACTTCCTGTACTTATAATCCCACCCTAAAACAATCCCACCACTTCCACCTTGCTGACATCTCAATCAATGAGGGTATTTTCTGCTTTTGCTCCAATGTTGCATGATATTCGTTGGTGAAAAGAAAGGATGGAAAAGCAGTCTCCATGTATTGTTTTTCATTTCATTTGATTTTCCTTATAGATTGATTTTCAAAGAGGTCAAGAGATTGGACTCACATGCTTACAGTTTTGTAGCTTGATGGATGGATATTTGTCATTAATTCTCTTTAGATATTGGATACAGATTGTGGAGATAGATTCCATAACTTTCCTTTCTCAAATCTGCATTATAGTAGTCCAGAATTTTCACCAAACTTATTCGCAAGTACAATGGTACTGTTACTTATTTTTTCAATCACTTTACCTTTTGCAAGTTCTGAAGTTATTAAACATTTCTATTTATCTGTCGAATTAGATTTACAGTTCATTGTAAAGCATTAAACTAGCTATTAATTTGACACTTCAAAATACAAGGCACTTCATACAAATGTCTGCTGTTTATTTATCTGAGGAGCAAATTGGATTTCATCCAAACTGCATGGACAGATGTTGGCATCATTCAGCAAATAAAGTCTCATATTCCAATACATATTTATTTTATATGAAGTGGATATTGCTGTGAGACACAGTGTGTGTGTTATATAGATTAAAATTTGCTATGTTTATATGGGAAGAGTGCTCAGTCTCAGGGATAGAGCATTTATAGATATAGGAATTAACACTGTATTGAAATGTGAAGGTGTCAGTCACTATGCAATGTTGATTGCTAGCTCTATACTATTTCTCTGTCTGTCTGTCTCCCTCTTTCTCTCATAATATATATATATATATACACCATTATTGGTGCTCTGAGCCTGAACTATCATCATCAGTTATGATGAACGAATATCCCCTCGGCCCCATACCTTGAACAGCCATTTGGTCTTAAATTCATGCCAGACCTCAAGTGGAACTTGTACATATGATCCATCACCAAAGATACAGGAAAAATGGTTGGTTCCCTGTACCACTCCAGTACTTGACTATCCTCTCACTTCATTCGGATTTTTTTCAAAAGCCATACCTGAAACATAAATGAATAAATTTCTAAAGAATCAATGGTATTTATATTATAACTGCTATGAAGCAGGCATTATAACAAAATATATATAAAACACCTGCTTTATATTGGTTACAATATGAATAATGTTTCAGAAACTTTCTGTGTTGCCTGTATTAAATAGTCTGACTTCTTTTACTATTCTGACCCGAAGCTCTTTATAGTTATGGACAAATTCTTATAGTCACCACGGGTGTGCTATTTACTCTACAACATCCTCCCTTTTGAGATTAATACTTTCATAAAAATTTTACTTTTATTAGTATTAGTATCTTCTCCTCCTCTTTCTGGAGAGTTCGCCAACATACTTGATTTTGTTCCACTTCCAGTTCTTAAGTACATTTTCTTTTTCTAGAATTTGTCCTTGTAGGTTTCACGACTTGTTTTAGTGCTGGCACGTCAAAAACATCATATAGCATTTTTATCGATTCTTCCAATGTTTCAGGTCTTTAATCATTGAACCATTTTTCAGTTGATTATGGTGCCTTTTATGTTCAAATCTTTTTGTTTTTACACTGTAAATCAACTTCCCAATTCTTGCTGATATTATGCCATCTTCCCGCATTTCTTTGCCATCCTTATATGCTCTAAAGTACACTTTATCACCAGCCTTGAAATTTTTGGTATTATTTTTGTTATCCATTTGTGTTTTTTGACTTGGTAATAATTTGTCAAACACCAAATTTTACCTTATACTAGCAAATATTAATTCCACTGGCAACTGCCTGATGGCATATTGAGGTTAGGTGTTACACAAGTAAACTCTCAGAAAATTTTGTAGTGCTTCTTCATTTACTTTCTCATTTCTTCTGAACATTCCCACAAACCATTTTGCTTGTCCATTCAACCTTGGGTGATATGGTAGGGTCATAATATGTTCAGTGAAGTCTTTGAATTCTTTACTCATAAATTGTGTTCCATTATCAGAGACCATGATATCTGGTCTGAAGACTGACTCCAAATGACTTCTAATACCTCTGACCTGGAGCTCTTTATAGTTATAGATGAGTTCATATAGTCACCAGGGATGTACTATTTACTCCACAACATATATATATATATATATCTATAATTTTCACATGAATACTCCTCATTGCTGACAACTAATAAGTAATAACTGGCTGTTTGTTTCCATGTATGTCCATCTGCTGGGGTGGCTAACTAATCCTGTTGCAGACACCTGCTCAGACACAGTTGTGTGTTTCTTCAACACCTACAGAGCCAAATGGACCTTAGTTTCTGGGAGAGAGTGTACAGTTTTACATTATAATTGGTTGAACAAAGCCAACATGCTCGATCATAATGACTTGTGACTCTGTGCTAATGCAACCATCAACAGCTTCCAAGCAGTTTTATCTCCCTAATCTAACAAGGCCTGGTTCAACTTGCAGTATGATTTTCCCTAATATGCCACATGCTTGTATTGTTTCTTCAGACTGATAGTATCAAGAAGTCACCTACTTGATAAATTGACTATAGCAAGATTTGAACTTGGGTCTTACAGTTGGAACACTAATATATGCTAACTACTAATAACTATTAATGTTAGGAGTTTTAATGATATTCCTGAATTAAAAAAGAACACTTGTCTATTGCAATTTAATTTAAAATCTTTCTTTTTACAATCCCTGAAAACTGAAACCATTTTAATTAGTTTGTTTGTTTGTTTGTTTCTTTACAATCTCTCTTGTTACTCTGAAAATCTGAAACTGACTGCATGGTTTGAAAACAAAACTTTTTTCCCTTGAGTGAAAAAAAATCCAAAAATCCATTTGCATTCAATTTCTGTTTTGCATCAAGCATCATTGATTATTCTCTGGTTTCACTTTTAATTGTCCAAGAAAAATATCATATTTTGAAGTAATGAGTATTTTTGGGGTATTATGAGAAAATTGAAATTTCTCTTTCATCAATTTCATCTTGTCACTTAAATGAAGGCTGTTGATTTAACAAATAAGAAGAAGATCCTTGATTTAAAAAAAATACTATAGATTACAAGTCATCAGTTTATAGATGTTTATCTACACAAAAGGAATAAACTGAGATCCTTTACCAAAGTGAACAAATAGCACAACATATTTAAAACATGCTATGTACTTTTTTATTAGATAATTTTTATTAGCAGAAATCTATCTTACATATTTATAAGTCTACCATTCATCCACGCTTTGAATATTGCTGCTACATTTGGTCTGGTGCTTCTGTGTTTAAATAGATATGATAAAGTATAAAGAAGAAGCTGCAGTGTTATTGGTCTTGACTTGGCATCTCAGCTTCAGACACTTTCCCACTGACATAACATAGGTTCTTCATGCCTTTTCTATAAATACTTTCATGGTAATTGTTCCGATGAACTTTGCTGTATGTTCCTAGACTTTATGAATTTAAGTGCAGTACTAGATTTGTGGCAAGGTCTGATCATTTTACACTTCAAATGGCTAGATGTAACCATAGTAACCATAAGTTCTATGTTAACAGTTTCTTCTATCACACTTCCTCTTTGTGAAATTTTCTTCCAGCCTCTTGCTTCCCAGTCAACTTTGATCTTCAAAAATTTAAATGCAATGCCAATTGTAATTTTGTCTCCTTAATTCCTGTTCTTTTATTATTCTCTCTCCTCAATAATACTTTTTTTATATTCTTTCACACTTACTAACCCTTTGCATCTTAGTTTCTTTATTGTCTTGCTTGGGGTGAAATGATTAAAAACAAAAAACTCTTAGAGTAATTCCAGAAAGTTTCTACAAATATTTTATTGGATATGTTAATTTTGCTTTGATGGTATTTACAGGTAATGCAAGTTAGTATTACTACTAAGATAAATTATTGGCATACCTATGTGTCAAGTAAAAGAAATGATATGTGACCTTGTACTTGCTTGATATTTGAGAGCCATGATTGCCCATGTCCTGAAGGGACATGGTACATAAAAGATGATTAGTGACTTGAAACCGGTTTCTATTCAGATTTGTAATCTACCTTGCACTTTGTGTCGGATATGTTCAAAATCAATTTGCTTTCTTTATTGTACTTCCGAGATAAAAGTGATACTTCTCTCTCCACAAGCATCAGTGTAATTAAAGGGTGGTAATTGTGAGCTATCATGTTTGTATTATTCTCTTTGTATTGGTAATGAAACATTTAATATCAAAGAATTAAAGAAAGCAAGGAAACCATTCAAGAACAACTATCTGTTTTGTTTACTAGTTTTATTATATAAGTCACAAATGACATGAACTTCTAATGTTTTGATAGACAATCTTGTATTATTTCCTACAGGGTTATATGTTCCTTATCGTATTATAATTCTGCTTGTTTATTAGTTAGTATATATGTTACACACTACCCATATCTACTAAATAATGGACTATTCCATTTTGATTGCTAGGAAAGACAGAAAAGATATATCAGAGACGTTTTTTGGTTTCAGTGAGGAAAAGAAAGAAAAAGAGTAGATGGATAATTCTGTCAAGTGTTTAACAGCTGCTTCAGTGGAATGGAAAACCTTGTCAATTTCAAATCTTTTCATTTGTACCCCCTTACTTCTGTAAATAATGAAGTGCATTCATATTTATGATTTTTATTGCAATATATTGTTAAAGTTGTTAAGCTCAGATATTAATACGTCAATCAGGGAATTCCATGAGTTTTCTATAGTTAGCAAACTCACAAGATGGTTATTTAGCCATTAACTTAAAATTTAAGATGCATCAGAAAATTGGCTTATGGCCATATCACGTTGAAACACTGGTTCTCATATGATTACCAAAGTTAAGCAATGTTGAGTTTGGTCAGTACCTAGATGGGGGACAGTTGGGAATACCAGGTAATGTAACCTTTGATATGTGGGTGGTGTAATGCATAATGGCTTGGAATTGGAAATCAAAGAACCGAGTTCCAATTCCAGTTGAGTTCATTATATTCACTTACACGCAAATACCCTTAGGAAAGAATCCAGCTCTTATCCCCACCAGCTATGGCTTTATTAATGGGACTTGTATAAGTAAGTACTTGTTATCTCTAAAATGATCTTACGTTCTAAAAATATTTTCTGGCTTTAAATAACCTGCAAAAAAAACAAATCAGTTAATCAATTTTCAGAAAATCTGTGGGTGGTGTGGTGGATAGCAGCTCAGAATGAGAAATCTGAGAGCTGTGTTCTAATTTCAATTGGGTTCATTATGTTCACTTGTATGCAAATGCCCTTGAGAAAAGTATGAATCTTTTTCCCCATACATATGGGTTAAATAGTAGGGATTGACTCTGGAGAAATCATTGTTATTCTCCCCCAAAAATTGTTAATGAACTATTCCGTAACAAAAAAAAAAGAATTATTCTTACAAGCTAAAATATGTTTCAGCTTTAAGTAACTCACAAAGCAGTGATAAGCTGTTAAACAAAAATAAACAAAAAAATTTAAAGAGAAAAATCATGAAATTTTCATAGTTATTTTTGTTATATAATTATTTTGCTAGAGGCTTTCATTCATTTGTGTTAGATTTTAACAATGTATAATTTCCTCATTTTTTTCTTTGGTTTTGTTAAATTGTTTTTTCTTATCTGTTGTTGCATCTTTCAAACCAAGTAATTTTCCTCCAAATAATTTTTACATTTTAATAACAATTTTTTGTTTTCATGCGATTTGAAATCTGAATTTTAATTCATTCTGAAATTAAACCTTTCTTTTTTTCTTCATTCCAAAAGTGGTTGTTCTATTTGTCACGATATGAGCCTTTCCTTTTTTCTCAATTTACAACATCCTTAATCTAAACATTTCCTCTGAAGTTAAATCAGATTTCATTGTGTAGTTAGTCTTTCTGACATCTTGAACTTAGTCATAAATCATCCTCAATTCCTTCAATCTCATCTAGAGTCTTTTTTCTATAAACCTTTTCGGCATTGTGATTCTTGTCATTCCAAAATTTACATGGTTGTCTGTATTTGAATAATAGCTAATTTTTCTGCTTCTTAGTCACTTAAGCAAGCATTTGCCTTGCCTAAATATGAAGTCAAAATTTTTCTTTTTGAATTTGTAAATCAAAACCTGTGACATAATTTAGCATCTAATCACCAAATGATAGTAAATTGTAGAAGATACATAGAAATGTATTAACTACTTTAAAATGTTTAATTTTAAATGTTCTTTAATTGCTTAAGAATTACTTTGTTTATATTTTGGGTACAAAGATAAAGTTAGCAGATATAGATTTTAAATGATCCCAACAAGAAACATACATTTCTAAATAGGGTAATTGAGTCTTGTTTTGCTGTAACAGCTTTATGATAAAGCATGCCTGGCTTGAAGGTGGTCTCCCAGGTTTAAAGGGAATATGTTTGATTGAATCCTATGCCTGTAGACATTAATTTCAGTGTTTAAAAAAACAGATGTCTATTCAAACACATGTATGCATTAAATATAATATTTATAGTAATAAGAAATATGTTTGATCAAAAATCCTGTTAATTGCTTAAAAATAGACAAGTATATTGACAAGTAATTTTAGGGTCAACAAATTTTTATCTACTTATTGTTAATTTAGGGAAAATGATAACGTTACTTTAATTTATGACTTTCTTAGATTCTGTTTTGATTTTTGTCATAACATTTCTTGGTGTACAAAGAAAAGAGTACTGAACTGTTATGTAATATCAGTCCTCTTGTGTGGCAGTGAATGCTGGACAATCTCCTCACAGATGAAGAAGAGACTTGATGTAACATAAATGTGGTTCTATAGGAGAATGCTTAGGATGCAATGGACCAAACGTGAGCAATGACAGTTTTAGTGAAAACTGAAACACAAAGAAAACTTATACTTAATATCAGGAAGAGACAGTTGAAATTTCTAGGGGACATAATGTGGAAAGAGGGATTGGAAAATCTGACAGTTTGAAGGCAATAGGAACAGAGGAAAACAGTGCATAACATACTTAGTGAGCTTGACTAAATGGATGGTGGAACAAGGTTTAGGAGAAATAACAAAAAGACAAAATTTATTAAGAGCTACAAAAGACAGGAAGTTGTGGAGAGGGATGGTTGGCAATGTCCTGAAGAGACATGGTACATAGTAGAAGTGTTTATATTAGTAAACCTTCCCACTTAAGTGGAATGTGGCAAAAGAGTGCAGAAACGTTCTTGGCTCTGATTACATATATTTTCTCTGCAGTTGAACATATTTAGCACATTGTTTCTTTAACCCCCCCCCCCAAAAAAAAATTGATGTTAGGTCATTGAAATAATGATTTGGGAAAGTGAGTCAGCAAAGAATTTTTCAGTGCCTCTCCACGATATAGGAAAGTTGATAACACACATGCCACAGAACATCTATAACACCACCCATTTTAGTGCAATAGAGTGATGCAGTTTGGTTGAACAGATAATGGGGGAGGTGGCAACATGAAAATCCTGTGCAAATATACAATGTCATCATGTAATTTAATATTTCTGTGTTATGCTACATGATTATATTGCATATTTGTATATTACTTTATCCTTTCATTATGTTGAAGCAATATATCATTATGTAAAGTTAGTATCTTTTGGATTTTTAGAAAAATTCTTGGTTAATTCAATACAATTTTCCTGTTTGTGTGAGGCAAAAACCGGATGTTGCCTAATTTGGTGAGTTTCAAACTTGGCTTGTATTCAAATTAAACATCAATCAACATGCACATGCCTGACCATATTTCTACGAGATTTATCTCCTCAAAAGCCTGAAATTTGCTCCAGTTTAAGTACTTGACCAACTGACATTTTGTTTTATTATTTTTTTTAAGTGGGTCTAAAATTTTGTAAAACATAGTAATTATCTGTACCTCTCCAAAGTCACTTGAGCCGGCAGGCATCATGAAGTATATTCCTGTTAATGTGTGCGTGTCTCTATATATATATATATATATATATATATATATAATGTCCCTATCCATTTCTATATCTTTGATATGCATACAGAAATATGCAATCAGAAATAAAGTTCAATACTTATTGGACTCAAATGTGTTTTAAATTTCTAACTCTTCAGAACTTCCAATAAGAATGATTTTTATATATATATATATATATATATATATATATATATATATATGGACTCTCCCGGTTTCGGTTTATGAGGATCTGACAGCTTACTTGATTCAGTGATGAAATTTTGTGCGATAATCTTTAATTAGTGATTTACAAAGGAGGCCACATATGGAGCAAGTGTGAGGATTGTGAGATGAGATCACTTTAGATTGGCTGACCTTTTTAGATCTTGCTCTCGCTTGAAGATGATTCAGACAAGCAGATTGAAAATTGCTGAGTCCACTAAAACACGTTGATCTCCATTCTACCCGCTCCAAGGCTAAGTGCTCAAGGGTGTTATGTTATGTTTATTTATATTATATATATATATATATATATATATATATATATATATATATATATATATATATATATATATAATTTTGGAAAATAGGCCATGAAAATATATGCATTTGTTGAAGAATATGCATGTTAGGTAACAGATATCCATGAAGAAAATGGAATTGATGGGCCAGGTTCAAATTCCAATTTAGTCTGTTGCATTCGCTTTTGCACAAGAACCTTTATGAAAGGCATGAATATGTCTCTTCTTGCTGCCACAATGGTGGCTTCAATAGAAGGGTAACTGAGCACTGTAGCCTCAGGTGAAGAGAAGGAACACTCTGAATTCCAAACCATGGAGAAGGCAAGTGGAAACCACTCCAGTATATTTCTCAAGAAATCATGGTGATTCACAGATAATAAAGAAAAGGAATCTGTGGAGAGTCATGATTACTTACACCATGAAGAGACATAGCATTAAAAAAATGCATTTGTTAATGAATATGAATAGTAAATGTATTATATACTTATATTTATGTTTTATTATATATTTATATATAATAATTTGTATATAGATAAATGTAAGTTTTGTAAGTTTTGCATATAAAAAATTTGCATTCATTTACTTGCATGCTATTAAATGATGTTACTTATCTTTCATCATTATTGTTAATAACTCTGGAATTCTATATAAGTGCCAAGTTATTATGGTAATCGTAATTCTAAGTGCATTTAGTTAGTTTTATTGGTCAGTCTCATCTGGTTTTTATACAACTCATGACCTTAAAACACTGACAGCTGCTTCTTACTAAAACCTAAATTGTTGACACTTTCACAAAATATGTGACTGTTTGAACACCTGCATATCTTGGGCCTCACCCCTACAGAAAATAAGTTCTGTACAGAAAAATTATGCCCTTTTTTTTTTCCAAAGGTTGGAGAATACTTATATATGGTAACAGATTAAAGGAAAGTGGGTGAAAGTCTAGTCATGAAGAGTTTTAACTGCATATGTAGAAGTCAAATTTTGATTTTTAAATAAAACAAAAAAAATAGTTTTTAGTATTTTAATATCTACATTATGTGTATAAGTAAAGTGACTAATAACTCCTGATAATTATGTCTTTGTTCATTTGCTTCTTTTTCCTTTTTTCTCCCACAGCTATGGGTTAAATAGTAGAACTTGTATCTGAAAGAATCATTGTCATTCTAAAAATAAAATGTTAATGCAATATTCCCTTGCAAAAAGAAATGGTTCAGCTTTAAATAACCCACAAAAGGTTGATAAGGCATAAAAAACAAATTAATCAATCTTTTGTTTCTTTGATGATTTTTACCAGATATTAAGTATATAATATACTGGTCAATTTGCAAGGATAATGAATTTCAGTCATTCTGGTAGCTTTGTAGGTTGAGTCAAAAAGAAATTTTGCTTTTGTTTCTCAAATTATTCTTCAAAAAATATAGTACAATTAGATTTTTTTGCAGTGATTGC